CCCCAAAACCCCAAAACCCCAAAACCCCAAAACCCCAAAACCCCAAAACCCCAAAACCCCTTATTTAGATTCGCTAATTGAGAGCCATTAAATATTTATTCTAATTTAGATCCCTTCACGGTTTGCTTCTCTAAGTTCTCGTCAAATGATCCTGTCAAGTTCATCATCAGTGAGTCTGATTCCAAGAAGACTCTGTTTCTAGAACGTCCAATAATGTCAGCAATGTCTTTGGAGGCTTCAATTCTTCTCAATTCAATGAAAGCTGGGTTCTGTGCCAATGAGGTTCCGTACAGTTCAGCTGCTTTGGCTTCTCCCTGAGCCCTGATGATGTTACTCTTCTTTTCCTGTTCAGCTTGCATGACTACAAACTTTGCCTTCTCAGCATCCTGTTGGGCAATCTGCTTCATTTCAATAGCACTAGAGAATTCATCAGAGAATTGCAAATGAGTGATAGATACATCGTCCAAGATGATTGAGAACCTTGAGGCACGTTCTTCTAGAGTTTTCCTAATCAAGAATGAAACTTGTTCTCTCTGAGTCAGAAGTTGAGTAGCATTATACTGAGCAATAGTACTTCTGAGAACTTCGTTCACAATTGATGGTAACACTCTCTCATCATAGTCTCTTCCGATGAACCTGTAAAGTTCTGGGAGCTTGAAGGCATCTGGTCTGTATAACACTCTGACAGTTAGATCAACGAACTGGAGATCTTTAGATCCAGTCTGAGACTTGAAGATCTGAGGGTGGGTTCTTACATCATAGATGATTGGATGTTCGAGCCATGGAACCATAAGATGCCATCCTTCCTTGTACACTGTTGGAAGGATTCCTTTCATTTTGTTGAATTTGATAGCTCTGTGACCAGCTTCAACATTGAAAATAGTGTATTTGTATCCAAGGTAGAGGGATAGAACAGAGCCCACGATACCGCCAGTTGCGAAGAGCTGCTTACGGATTGTATTAGACATTATTTTTATCTATTGATGGATAAAATAATTTTTCTATAATTTGGATTTGCACGGGGTTTTGGGGTTTTGGGGTTTTGGGGTTTTGGGGTTTTGGGG